GAATATGAATATGAATATGAATATGAATATGAAAATGAATATGAATATGAATATGCAGTTCCTCATCAGGTTTCTTCATTTTCGACCAAATGCCTTCATCTATTTTATTTACTGTCCATCGCATCCAGTTAACTCTATACTCTATCTTCCATTATTCACTGTTGAAACTTAAAGCTGAAACTAAAGACTGAAGCGAAACCAAATTAATCACTAGCATTTTTAGGAATGCACCGAGCTGTTGCCTTGGCCGACAGCTCTGCGGCGCATTTCATTTGGGGGCGGTGCATTGGCTACTTGGCATTTCGGAGCCAAGCACTTCATTCGGCGCTCTGGCATAACATTTGCTTTGTCACGGCTCGCATTAATCATCATCAAAACAGGCAAACACTCAGCCCCCCACAGACATGACAGTTTCATAAACGCCATCGAGAGCCACTTGCAACACACACAGACAGAGAGAGAGGAAGCTAGAGCGAAGGAGGGAAAGAGACAGAGGGCGGCAACCACAAGTAGGCAGCACATTGCAACTGATACGTCAAATAATCCACCCAGAGCCAAACCAATGCAAACCGAACCACACAGTATGAGGTTAAAATTTGTGCCGTGTTGACTGGCTGCTCTGACTCTTTAAAGTGAAATTCTAGATAAAGCTGATAGCTTTCGCTGTTCGCCTTGATTTAAGATCCAACTTGAGTCCGGATTATTCGGCAGTTCCTATCAGAAGCCGAATCCATTAAACGGCGCGCGCGTTAACGATGTCATTACGCATCCTACGCCATTTAGGTTGCCCGCTGTGTCGCTTCAGCCACCCCTCCCTCCTCCACAGACAGCAGCCCCTATTTTAATACCCTCGCTGTCGGTGCTGCCGTTCAGATCTTTGGCCGGGGCATAAAAGTTTAGCCATCAAAGGCGCGAGCGCGTTTAAGTGTTTATTTGCGCCCAAATGCGCTCTTTGAACGATTTGATTGAAAATTCTTTTGCATTGGCAGGGGAACGAATTGTGTTGAGTTGGCGGGACTCGGGGAGGAAGCGCGAGTGCTGCTAACAATCGCCCCAATGGCCCACAAGCTTTGGGCTTCGCCTCGTATATTACACCATTTTTTTTTTATTTTTTATGTTCATTTGCTTTTCTCTTGCTTTTTCCATTCTTTTTGCTCATTTCGCTTGGCGCCTTTTATTGTTGTGTTTGCCTCATTTATATGGCTGTGTCACATCTTGTGCTGTGTGTGCTCCGACTTCTCTTCTTTTGTGATTTACATACTGCTCTCTGCCTTCCACAGTTGCCGAGCGGAGTCCAGTGAACAACCAAACGCACATCGATCAAACCACAGCGCCCAGCCCGCAGCCGGACTCGGGCTTCATAGCGCTAGTGGTTATCGCCAGTCTCAGTGGTTGTGCGGTGCTGCTATCGGTGGTAAGTCATAAGAACTAATTATAAATTCTATAAGAAAAAATCCTCAAGCGGACCCAATATAAAAAGAAAATCTATAAAATAAAATTTGCCAACAATTTCTTTTTGCTATTTTTCGTTTACTATGCTAAATTATTACTCATATAGATATATAATTAAATATTCTCTAGGAAAATTCAGTATTTAATATCCCAATCATTTGTCTAGGTCTCACATAGAATTATGAATTTTTGATTTTGACAGTCATTAAAATATCTTCCCGTTTCTCTTACTTACTTATTATATAGGTCCTCCTCCTTGGCTACCGCTACTGCAGCAAGCGACGCATCAACTCTATGAACTTTGAGAATCCCATCTATCGCAAGACAACAACTGAGGATCATTTCAGTTTGCGCAAGAATCTGCCCGCACGTATCTACGATCACACCAGCGTTATGGACGAGGAGGTATTATATAAATCATGATTGAAACTATTTCAGACAATGCTAAGATCTTACGTTAACCCCTTCTCATTCTTTCTCTGTCTCTTTTACTCCATATAGTACTCACCCGTTATAGGCATATCGTCGTATTAAAGTTTTTGGGTTTATTCTGTCTAATCTATGTTTAGAAGCCAATTATAAACCCGCTGCAGACACGCCTAAAGACTGAGCAACTCGTATGTGTAATTATTTTAACCTTATTTTAGCAGCAGTTAAGAGTGAAGGAGGAAGCAGAAGAGGAAGTAGAGGGAGAATCCTTTAAGGATGCTGTACAAAATACGTCGCCGAGTTCTAACCTAAACTAAAACTATAACTAAAACTAAACTAAAATAAACTCTAAAGATAATTCACATAGTTCCAAACTGTATATAGCTGTAAGTGTGCATTAAATAATTAACAACAACAAAATAAACAAACAAAAAAAAACTGAACAAAAAGCATAATTGAAATTATAATATTATCTGATTAATTATCTAATTAATAATTAGAACAAAGCTTTGTTTCTGCTCAAAGTGCAGATCGTTTATTATTATTATTATCAATATTATTATATACTATTGTTAAGTGTAAATACGTTTCCGAATCAAAGCGATTGAATAAATGCCGATATGTGTAGTATTTCGTTTGTTTTACTATATCGCATATAAGTCGTTGTTTTACAGGTTCTTCATCGTTCTATAAATAGAAAGTTTTAGCATGGAAATATACTAGGTTAGGCTCTATTCATTATTCATTTGAATTGCCAAAATCGACCATCAAATTCAAAGAGTGCAACAAAAAGTACTTGAATAATTCAAAGCTTTTTCGCATAGCGACTTGTACGAATAGATAACCCAGACATAGAAGATTCTCTTTCTCTCCCTCCAATATCTATCCAATTTCTCTATAGTCAAACATATCACTAAATACTATATCACCTATCACGTATAAGTCATATAATATACGAATAACTATAAATGTTAATATGAATTTCCCCTGTTGCCAGCCACAATTTCGCCTATCGTAGACCTTCTTGTCTGACATTATCGGAATTTTATGCAACATGCAAATGCCACAAAAACGCCTAATCACGCTGTTGGCTAGGCAGGTCTATTTGAATATGTATTTCGCTACTTTTATTTCGTTTACCTTTTGAGAAAACTACTTACAAGAATTTCTAACGAGCAAAATAAAAAATGCGTCCAAATGTTCAAGGTGCTACAATACAATGTAATACTGCATAGATCACAAAATCCAACTCTATTCCACTCGCAAAGGTATTCGTTTGATATATTCTACTTACAAGCTTGATAGCTCTATGCAATTAACATATGCATGTCATGGTTTCTGACCTATGCCAAGAACCAATGAAGGCGAAAAGTATTATAGCATATAGCAAGAGCAAGATTGGTTAGCTATGTGATCTGCGCCGGCAACTGGTCGATCGCTTGGCGAAGAGCATTCTCTTGGTGTCACATGGGCTTACAACCACCTGCTCTTTGCATTGACTCTTCCACGCACATTGATTCGCTCTTGCTGTGCTCATTCGCGCTTGCTCTTCCTCTCTCTCTCTCTCTCTCTCTCTCTCGCTTTCGACACAACTGTCAAAAGCATCTGTTATGTACGCGTGGCGATCGTGCGCCGAGGGGCAAACGAACGAACATCGGGCTGCCTCGTTTGCAGTTGGTTCGCATTGGTAGATCAGTCGTTAAACGTCGTGCGGTCGGCACAGTCGTATCGTTGTTACTGGCATTATTACGGGACAGTCGAGCAGCCGCCTAGCTGACAGCAAATACAAATATCAAATTTTGTGTGCACGATATATAAATGCCGGAGTAGCAAATGTCTCCCCAGCCCAAAAGCAAATAACATAAATATTTTGTAATCCAAACGATAAAGCCAGAGCCAATAGAGAAAAGGTAGAGAGCGGCATCCAAATGTTAATATGAAGACCAAGTGCTAATTGCTAACGTATGAGATTATTTAGCTGACTTGCGTAAATCTCTCTACTTGTGCGGCATATCCGATATATCTTATGCGGAACACGTGTATTTCGAGGTCGCATTTTTTTGCATTTGCCAAAAAACAAACTAAATATAAAAAGAAGTGTATATTAAGAAAATCATTCGTTTTTTAACATAAACTAAAATAAGTACAATGTCGAAAATGTTCACCGATTGGACAAGACCAGAAGCTACTTCAGTTGGAGTGTAGGCGCCAGGGATCTTCGATAACGATTCATAGATAATGTCTTTATACTGTGACTCATATTTGTAGGGTGGTTATGAGTACGATCTACTCATTCCATAAGCCATTCAGCGTGACAAGTCGAAACTCGAATGCTTCATGTTTAGGGTTTACCTTGTAAAACCTGCATAAACCAAGCTGAAAGCGTTTGGCCACATGAATAAGTCGTCGCCCTTATATATTTTGCAATCTTTGTATGCCTCTAAAATACCCTGCAATGTCAAGCAATGAATGGGCCGACATGCCATAAGAATTTCCGTTTCATAAACTTTAGATTTAATCACACTTTTTGTGTTTCTATCGCTTAATTTTTTAATAAACAATTATAAGTATATTTGCTTACAATTGAGCACTTTGCAGGGTATCCCTAGCACAGCATACTCCAAAACAACGCTTGCCTGTATACTGTATTTCGACTTTCTGCAACATCGTATGATATTTCTTTTTCTTTTATTTTTGCTGTTCCGCAAGTTTCTTTTACTCTTGCACGCTCTTCACATTCGATACAATCCCCAAAAATTTATCATGTCTTTTGGCTCTCTGTATGATTCTTCTTCATTATTATTTTTCGGTTGGCAAGAGTTCGTTATATTTTATTTTCTTTCTTTCGTCTGTACTTTTTCATTCGGACGTCGCTCGAACAGCTGACGTAGACGTCGCGATATTATTTAATAATGAATAGTATATAAAATACTCGAGAAAATTGCGTGAGGAAAAGTGAATAAAAAACTGTGTGCTTTTTCCATCCCCGTTTCAGAGTGAAAACCCAATTCGAACTCAATTTAAAATCAATTTATCAATCACAAAGTTTAAGCATAAAATGGATGAACTCCCAGTCACGGCAGACACAGCAGCAATTACAATAGACATAAGCGACAGCAACAACAACAGCAACAGCAACAACAACAATAGCAATTGCAACAGTAGCAACGCTGTGGATACGCCGCCAAAAGTCAGCGCGTTCTTCAGCAGCAGCAGCAACTATCAGAGCCGCGTGCAGCAGCTGATCAGCTTCAGTTTCACGTCGTCGTTCCACTTAATCTTCATCACATCGATACTGAGCATAAGCAAATTCTGCAATGCCGCCGCCATGAATGCCGCCCAGGTGACCGCATCGGCGCCCAGCCCCAGTTTAATCATGTCAAATCTGAGCGGATCGGCGCTGCTCGAGAGAATCATGAAGACGACGACGCTGGGCCCGCAGCTCGACAAGCTCAAGAGCTCAGCGCCCGCCGCAGCGAATAGCATAAGTGGGAGCAGTGCCAGTGGCAACAGCTTCGGCTCATCCTTCTTCAACAGCAAAGGGATCAACTTTTCCTTCCAGAATGTCTCGGGCAAGATAAACACGCCGTTGGATATATGTAAGTGGAGTTTAAATAAAACTAAAGTTAACTAAGTTAAGTCTAAGCACCGACTACTAGGGCCTTCAGCTTGATGAATAAGTATAATGATGTAGATATTTATAAGCACAGCTTGACTTCACTGGGTGTGCGTGCGACTTGCCTCGACTTTTGTTGATTCAGTTTCGCATTGCTTGCCGATCAGGCCACCAAGTCTCCAATTTCCCAACGTTTATTTAGTTATATGAATTGGTTTATTTGGAATAGCCGTCGACTTGCAACTGACGCGGCATATCGCATGTGTTTCCATGTTAAAGCTATGCTCCAACCGCATTCCACGACGTCTCACACACTCACATTCTGTCTACCTTTTACTTTCCTAAGTCGCTCTCCCTCTCCCTCTCCATTTCTCTCTTTCTCTCACGCTCCTCTCCAATTCATGTTTCTTCAGTTTCTGCTGCCGGCCGGCATCTGGCTTCCGAGAGCATAGACCTCGGCGGCTGCAGAGAGCAACAAGTGTTTCTTGGTTTCTTTGGTTTCCCTCGCTCTTCTGTTGAGTTTGCCTTCAATTTTTGTAGTTGTTGTATTTTTGGAGTTGTTGCTCTTTGCTTTGAGAGAGGCCCACATCGAATTGAAGTCGGGCGCACGTGTTGAAAAGCGAAGCAAGCGCTACGCCTGTTATATGACGGGCCCGCGATATCCGAACCAGTTTCAATGCATAAATATTTATGTAAAGCTTGTCCAAGAATCAGCTAAAACATTTGAAACTTCAGTCAAGTAGTCTAAAGAAACTCAACTCTCTGATCCAGACATAAATAATAAACTTGGCTAAAAGACGCAGACTAATGTGAATAATTGAAATATATATACAAATATCGAAAGAAGTATATACTTAAATCGTAACTAGCAGCGTAATTTTATTGTTATTTCTATAGCTGGAACTCCCAGAAAGAGTATTCTTTATTCGTCAGTTTCTTCCTGAAAGTATATCTAATTCAATATGAGTTATACTATAAAAGAAAAACACTAAAACAAAACAAAAAAAACTTCATATAATGAAACCAATCGGTTTAAAAGAAACCTACAAAAAAAGTGTTAAAAACCGAGAGCTGTTATTGAAAACTGTTAAAAACTAATGAACAACTTGACCTCAATGCACTCAAACATCCACTTTCTGCGTTTCCGTTTTATGATTAACATTCGCAAAAACCCCAAACAAATATATTTATATGTATATGTATATGTATACATAGATTTTAAACACTTGCATCAGTCAAAATCGACTGACATTTATATATTTATAATTATAAAACAAATATGAAACAAGCCTTCAACTTGTCGAGAGCTAACCTTAAGCAAAATGATCTCAAGCACAGCGAATTTGGAGTGCAAAACAAAAGCTTGAAGAGGTTAAAACTTAAAGCTATAAAAGCAGACAGCATTAGGCTCGAGCCGGTCACTGGGTCACATTCGGGCTATATTAAAGGCTAATAATAATAGCATTGCTTCTTGGTTGCCTTGCGATCCTATAAATAATTTACATGCCGGATTTGCAATCGAAAAGTATTAAAATGACTTACCAAAGCCCAAATATAGCCAGCCAAAGGGCAGAGGCCAAGTGTATTTAAGGCCAGCAAAAATATCACTTAACCCAATTGGGCTGCTCATGAAACAGGTGAGAGGTCACTGAGGTAGCTCCATTAGCTCACAAGCACACAGACTTGATGCCATAAACTAAATTTGTGAACTTGGCTCATATCAAGTTTTGTGGCCATGCTCGCTTCTGAGCCCCATCAAAATTTAAGACTGGAACAACTGATTGCACGACCTAT